CCTCTGGACATCGAGGGGGCCCCAGCGTACTCTGTCCATTCCATCCTGGATTCGAGGCGTCAGGTGGGGGGCCTTCAGTACCCTCGTGGAGTCGGAGGGGTATGGTCCGGAGGAACGGTGCTGGGTCCCGGTGAGGGATATCCTCGATCCCTCCCTGTTGCGGGATTTCCACCGTCGCCATCCTGCTCCGCGTACTCCTGGCCGTCCCCAGCTGCTGGGGGGGGGGGGGGGGGGGGTACTGTCACGGCTTCCGCCGAGGCTGCCTCACCTCCATTGTTCGGGCAAACTTCGGAGTTCGTCGTCACCGGCTTACTAACCACTGCCGCCCCAATTATCATCATCACATTTGTCTTGTCTTGTCAATCACACACACCTGGTTCTAATCCCCTCATTAGTCCGTGTATAAGTGTTCCCTCTGCCCCCTTGTCCTTGTGGGTGATTGTTTGAATGTGAGAGTAGTGTAGCTCGGTGGAGCTACTCGTACCATTTTGTTGCCAGGGTAGATATTTCCCCTGTGCCTATGTATTGTATGGAGATACCGTTACAGTGTATTGCCAGAGTAGATAGTTTCCCCTGTCCCTGTTTTCGTTTGTCGCTATTCAAGCGTATTTTGTGTAACGAAGGAATAAACTCTGTATTCAGTGATTACCCTCCTGCGCCTGACTCCTTCCATCACACTCATCACACACAACTTGTTTATGTATCAGAACCCAGCCCTTTCGCACCAAAGCCAGCAAGTGTGCGATAAATGAAAAATAGCACAAATATGTCTGACACAGCCCTGAACATATAGCGCTAACCACCTGCACTTAGATTTACTATTGGGTTAGGTTTGTTAAATAGAGCCCTACAGTGCATTTGGAAAGTTTTCAGACCTCTTGACTTTTTTCACATTTTGTTACATTACAGCCTTATTCTAAAATGGATTGAATAGTATTTCCCCTCATCAATCTACACACAATACCCCATTATGACAAAGCAAAAACAAGTTTTTAGAAATGTTTGCCAATGGAAATATCACATTTACGTTAGAATTCAGACCCTTTACTCAGCACCTTTGGCAGCGATTACAGCCTCAAGTCTTCTTGGGTATGACGCAACAAGCTGGTACACCTGTATTTGGGGAGTTTCTCCCATTCTTCTCTGCAGATCCTCTCAAGCTCTGTCAGGTTGGTTGGACAGCATCGCTGCACAGCTATTTTGAGGTCTCTCCAGAGATGTTCGATATGGTTAAAGTCCGGGCTCTGTTTGGGCCACTCAAGGACGTTCAGAGACTTGTCCCAAAGCAACTCCTGTGTTGTCTTGGCTGTGTACTTAGGGTCCTTGGTCGTGTTGGAAGGTAATTTCACCCCTTTCTGGGGTTGAGCGCCTGGACAGTTTTCATAAAGGATCTCTTCCCCTTCTCCCGACAGTCCCCCAGTCCCTGCAGCTGAAAACACCCCACAGCATGAGCTGCCACCACCATGCTTACCGTAGGGAGGGTGCCAATTTTTTCCCGACTGACGATTGGCATTCAGCCAAAAAATTAAAAATTTTTTTTATCAACCCCGAGAATCTTTTCCATGGGCTGGGAGCCCTTTAGGTGCCTTTTTGGGAAAAACCAAAGGGGCGTATGTCCTTTTACTGAAGATTACTACCCTTGGCCACTCAACCATAAAAGGCCCCGATTGGGGGAGTGTCAGAGATGGGGCTTCCGAAGGCCCATTCCACACAAACTGGAGCCTGTCCGAGTGACCATCGGTTTTTGGTCACCCCCTGACCAAGGCCTTCTCCCATTTCTCAGTTTGGCCGGCCGCCAGTTAGGGAAAAGGGTTTTGGTGGGCCAAAATTCTTCATTAAAGAAAGGGGGGGGGCCACTGTGTTCTTGGGGGCCTTCCACTGATATTTTTTGGTACCTTCCCCCCAAACTTTTTTAAAATCCTGTTGGGGCTCTACAGCTTCCTTTGACCTCAGGCTTGGTTTTTGCTCTGACATGCCTTCAACTTGGCCCCCTTTATAGACAGGATGTGCCCTTTTAAATTTCAAAACAATTGAATTTACCCGGTGGACTCCTCAAGTTGTAAACACTCAAAAATTCAAAGGAAACGGATGCACCTGATTCAAATTTCGAGTCTCATAGCAAAGGGGTTAATACATGTAATAAGGTATTATTTTTTTGTTTATAGATTTGTGGTTAAAAAGGGTTTTTTATTTTATTTTAAAATTTTTGTGGGGGTAAGTAAACAAAATTTGGAAAAAAAGGGAAGGGGGTTTTTTGAATAACTTTTTAACAAATTTCAAATT